ACAGGGAAGTGAGCACCCTAATCTGCCTTGGTCACTGGAGTAACCCCCAGAACCTTGATGGGGTGTTGCTCAATATGTTATCACTGAATGGCACACTCATCCTTTAGAATAAACCTTTAGTTTATTCTAGAAGGATTAGGGTTAGAGTCAGCCGCTGTGTCTTCTTCTCATGGAAGAAGCCTGTGGGTACAGAAAAGGCTATGATTCTGAATTTGGGGGCTCAACATATGTGTATAGAAGGAAATCAGGGACACTCAGACCTGTCTCTATCTCTACCTCAAATCTATTGATTCTGGCTCTAGAAATTCCCACACAGAATGAGAAATAAGCCTCGAACACACACCGCTGATATTGCAATTTTAACGGTATAATGAATGCACATTTCTGTCCTTAAGAAAAGCTAGCCAAGGTACTTTGTACAGAAAGCAGTGGTTCTGGAGCAAAGCTAGATGTGAGTATCGTCAGCTGTGCCCCACGAAAGGCGCGCTCAGGGACACAGCTGTCCTTGATTTCGCAGTCCTCAGAAGACAAACCCAGCCCAGCGTGATGTCTCAGCGGCACAAGTCCAGCTGTGGTTTACGTGTGCTCAGCTGGAGAAGGTCGCTTCAGCCAAGCACATCTCTTTGCAGAACCTAAGCCATGTGGGTCTTGTTCCCAAAGGGATGTGATTACATCCTCCAAACAAATACATTGCAAAATTCTGGGCCTGGGGAGAGGGAAGCCAGATAACTGTGCTGATACAGAAAACAAAAAGTCCCCCGAGTCTGCTGGTCAAGGCGGTCAGCCTGGATCTACTGCAGAAGGACCAGAAAGCCTTTCCCTAGAGACAGAGAACAGTTACTGCTTATGGGGTGTCATGTAGGCACGTAAGGAATGTGTGTGGCATCATTTTAATAAAACTCAATTATCAAAAATAGGAGGTCAGTCTCAACTTGACAAACCTTTAAGCGGAGCCCTGACCACCACCACTTGGCATTTGCTGTGTCAGGGTGAGTGCACTCCAGCTGCAGGACATCAACTTTGCACCAAAAACACTGGTAGACTAGTGTTTTGGGCCCTTTCCATTTCGTGTAACTAATTTCCGCAGAATAGTCAGGAGAAGGACATGATGTTCAACTTCCCAGAATCCAGCAGGGTTTAGGAAAATACACAGCGAAGTACATTTATCTAGGATAAAGTGAAAATACTGTTGCCTAGAGACAGAGGGTAATCAAGTCCGTGGTTTGGTTGGACTGCAATCCAGTTTGACTTTAAAACTTGAAATTTAAGATGATTCAGCAAATTTTCCTGTGTACAATGTTTTATTGCTTTTAAAATTAATAACCGTAAGTGGTTAAAAAAAAAAAAAAGGAAAAGATAAAACGAATCTAAATTAAAGCATGAAAAGTCTGATGCTTTTAGGATTTTGTTTTTGTGGTTGAGACCAGTCCTATGTAGCCCAGACTGGCCTTGACCTCACTATGTAGCTGAGGGAACCCTCTGCTTCCACTTGCCAAGTGCTGGAGCTATGGGCATGTACCTCTTTGCCTGGTTATAATGAATCCTTCCAATCTCAAGTGATAAGAGGGAATGTTCCATGTGTAAATTAAGTTATCATCAGGAATGACATTATGGATACTTCTTGACCTTCACTAGCACCCTCTTCTCCCTCAGATCAGGGCTGAGAAGATGGCTCAGTGGGTAGAGAGCTTGCTTGGAAAGCATGGAGGACCAGAATGCATGTAAAAGTCAGGTGCCAATGGGTAGGCAGAGACAGGTGCATCTTTGGGGCTTGCTAACCAGTCATTGCAGTCAAAATGGAAAGCTCTGGATTCAGAGAGACTCTGTCTAAAAACAAACAAATCCATTAATTAATGAAAAGCAGTGGAGGGCAATAGAATACGTAAGATAGCCTACATGCTCACGCATGGGTTGGTGAGTACACCTGAACACACATACACACACACACACACACACACACACACACACACACTAATTTTCATAGATTTTTATTCCGTGGCAGACCCCCGAGCACCTTTCCCAGCATGTTTCCAGGTTTAAGTTTCCAAGGCTGAGGCTGAGGTCAGATCACTTCAGATCTACAAACTGCCAAGAGTAACTGAGCTCAGACAGACTTTTAAGGAAATGAAAATACATTCATGAACTCAAAATCCCCTTTCCCCTCCTCATTTCATGGAAGTGATGGTATCGAGGGCTGAGAGGATGTGAGGAATCTTCTCCACCGTGACACTGAGCAATCGAAACACTCATATGCCAAGTCTGAGGCAGAGATGCTAAAAGAACAGCAGACTGAATTACAATAGTGATTGTCAGGGACTAAAAGTGTAAGTTAAACATGATTGATTTCAGAACTTTGTTCTACATTTAATGGTTGCGTCTCCCCTCCACCCCAAATTCTTCTGCTGAACACCTAACCTCCACTGTGCTCAGAGATGGTCTCAGGAGCATCATTAATTAGAAGTCATGGCAGTGGCACGTAGGATGGGCCTGACAAGAAACAGCAATTCCATCTTTCTCTCCTTTCCTCCATCTCTCCTCTCTCTCTCTCTCTTTCATCTCTCTCCCTCATCTCTCTCCCTCCCTCCTTTATCTCTGTCTGTCCTCTCTGTCTCTCTCTGTCTCTCCCTCCCTCCCTCTCTCTTTTCCTCTTTTCTCCATCTCCCCTGTCCCCAGTCCCTTGCTTCCCATGAAGGAATGAAGGGGCTACATGGTGACAAGGTGGCCTATGGCAGGCCTGGAAGTGAGTAGGCATGACTAGAATGTGGCCATGCTGGGACTCTGATCTTGGACATCTGTTGTCTAACCCAAGTAGATAAACACCAGGCCCGATTTCTGTTTTCCCAGAAAACTTCCTTGTCATCTAGAAATGGCTTTGACATAGGAGAGAAGTGGCTCACATCCACCTGTAACTCCTGCTCATGAGGGCCTGGTGTCCTCTTCCAGCCTCCACAGGCATGCACAAACATATGTTCCCAGACACATACATATAAATAAAATAATAAGATAAAATAAATCTTTTTTTTTTTTTTTTAAAGTGGAGCTCTGGTTACAGATTGGGTATGGCTATAGGAAGAACTGAAGATTCTTATGGGAAGAAATAGAGGGTAATAAAATGCACTGGGGAAGGATGGGAGCCAGCCAGAGGGGATGGGGGAAGGGCAGTAGGGTAGGAGAACAAATGAGAACCAAGTGTAACGACACATATGCATGAAAATGTCAGGATATAATTTATTACTTTATATACTGACCTAAAATCAATTTAAAAGTAATGTAGACTGTGTGTGTGCACGGATATATGTTTGTATGTGTACATGAGTATATGCATGTATGTGTATATGTGGAAGTGAAGAAATTTTGCTTCCTTTTCGTTCTCACCTTATTTTTGCAACAAGGTCTCTTCCTGAATCCAGATTCTAAGGATTGACTAGACAGTCTGGCCAACAACCCTTGGACTCTCTTGTCTCCTCCCTGCCAGTGCTAGGGTTCCAGACATAGGCCACCCTGCCCACCTTGTCACACAGGTTCCAGGAATCCATACTCAGGACCTCAGGTTCATACAGCAGGCGCTTTCCCAACTGAGCCACATCTCCAGCCTAATCTTCTTTATTCTATATATAGAAAATCAATGCTCTCGATTAGCAAAGGACTTCCCAGCGTGTGTTAATTCATGATATTAATTTGTCCAAGTTCTTACATAAGAAATTAACCGTTCACAATTTGACCACCTACAAACAAAATCATCTTTGAAAAACACTTTAAAAACAGATATTCTGTTTCACGATATGATGTGATGCACAATCAGTCCCCTAAGCTTCTGTGTGACGCATCGTGGGTCAGGATTAAGATCACCCCACTTCAAGGATACTCCATTTGGAGGGAACTGCTCGACCCCACTTGCTACAACAAGCTCTAAGCTTAGTTCAGATCCACAGCAGCCCTCACAGGCCATAACCATTTTCTACTCTTCAGATCTTGAAACAATAGACTTTTTTTTTTTTCTTTTGGACAACAAAGCTTATTACAGAGATTGGCAGAACATCAGCTAAGTACAACAGGTAAACAGGGGCATTTCAGAAGATTATGGTCGATCTGCAATGCTGAACAGATCTGAAATAGTTTCCCAAGGCATAAACTCTTCACATTTTAAAGTCTTTATCAGATATGGTGATGTAATTTCTAGAAGGCAGAAGTGGTGTCCATGTTGTCCTATGCATCCTGGTAGACTGCTAAAGTGTGTAAACAGTTACCTCAGGAGGGTATTCACTGCACTGGATTTCCCAGGAGATCTCTCCACGTAAACCTCTTAGCATCTTATCTCTGAGAAGAGGCAGAAGGAAAGCTTGCGACAGAAACCAGCAGAACGACTCCTGTCCTAAAGCGCAGTGTGGCTGCTCATCGGCTCCCTCCTCTCTGTGATATGTTCACCCCACAAACATTTACTGGCACCTTTTTTTTTTTGCAGTGGGCACTGTTTCAGAGTCTGAAGACAAACTGAGTAATCCATGAAGTCCCTGCCACCTATGGCTTGTAGGTAGAGGCAAATAAACACAGGCCACAGGATTGGAAAGAGCATGAGACAACCCCGTCTGAAGCCTCATGTCCTTAGTCCGGGGAAATAGTGACATGAAGAGAGGCTCACACAGGCTGCAGCTGTTCAGCACACGTCTGTCGGGCAGGCTTACCTCATTACTTCATCCCATGTAAGCCTCAGTTTCCTCATCTATACAATGGAGAAGGGTTAGAGTAAGTGACTTATTAGGGATCTTTGCCAGTTCTTTAGGGTCTTAAGAGAGCATTGTGTGCAAAACAAAGAATCGCTTTGTTGACTGTTTTATAGTTTTAAATAAAACATAAATAATAAATTTAAAACATAAACATAATAAACATAAAAAACAAATCTTTACCTACTCCATGCACACTGAGTATTTTAAATGCAATCTGATCTTTATCTGCACAAAGCGTTTTATTCACAACAACTACAGAATGAAATCATCTCACCATCCTTGGCCATGTAAGAAATAACTTATTTATTCATAAAAACATATTAATTTCCATTGTTGGTTACAAATCCCACCTCGTCTGTGGAATGTTCCCTGGGGTGACATCCTTCCTTGGATGTGACTGTCACTCTGTTACCAACCCATAGCACTGGCTTTGTGGTCCTGTGTCATCTTTTAAATCAGCATATTTGTTCATGAAAACAGGGGTTGGGGGTTGCTTTGAAGTGGACTCCAAAAGGATATTTTGCTCCAGCAATCCCTTTTGCTTACAGTAACGTAGCTATACCACATGCCTGCATCCCAGGCTTCCAGGAACCCACAGACACTCCCAGGATGCAAGAAGAACACTGAAATTTGGTCTACAAGGGACACCATACCATAAGGGAAAGTGGATATCCACATTTCTGACTGGGACAACGTGAATTATTATTGCAGCCTCTTTGGAAGCTGTATTGGAATGTTACTGTATAGTTAACAGTGTAAGCAAAGTAGCTCATCTCTTATAATTACTTTTTCCCCTGAAGAAGATATATTGGAAAACTGAAGGGTAAATAAGGTTAGACTCATGCTCGCTAGCTGAAAGGCATCCTAATGCCTTCGATTCTTTTGGAAGACAAATTACATCCACTGGACCTATTATGGAGAAATTAAACTTTCTTTCTTTTATCAATCCAGTGGCTAAGGAGGACAGTGTTTCTGCAGACTGGGGGAAATCTTGTCCTTTATCTGAACTGTATTCCCACTGACACCTTGGAGGTTCCATCTGTGTTTATCTGGTTGCTATGTATTGACATAAGCTGCACATGTTTACAAATTTTATCTGATGGGCTCAGTGACAAGGACACAGCTGGGCAGTACTTTTGGGAACCAAGGAAAATCCTTCCGCATTGAAGTTTAATGCCTTCCTGTTGTTTAGATACAGTATTGATGTCCTCAGAAGTGCCTAAAGTGGGTAGACAGGCAAAGTCTGTCCTGCCCCTACAGTGACTATAAGAGAACAAAGAACAACTTGTTGGCTTGCTAAAAACCCTCCCATCAGCACCAGGTGGGTAAAGGCATCATCTGGACCCTTGAAGACTCTCAAAGCAGCTCTCCAACATCATTCATTGATAAGCAGTTTCTTAAACAGTGCTGTATGGATGAAAAGCTGAGGGCATGCCTGTGGCTGGGGGCTCCTGCTGCATACATGAACATCAGAGAAGAACAGGAGAGTTCAGGCAACTTTTGGCAACTTGGATCACAGTTACAGGCAGATTCTTGTTAGCAAAGGAAAATGGCTTTTGATCTATATCATAGATTTGGCATCTGTGTTGGGTGTTGCTTGAGTATATGCTAGCAGCAAGAATGTAGCTGATTTTCTCAATGAGAAGCAGGAGAAACAACAAAGCCTTGCTTATGTCCAGTGTCTTTACATCGCTATGACCACTGTCACTCCCAGCCACTCTGAAGAGTCCATGGGTTGGTCACAGGAGTGCCTCAGGCCTGACTTCAGCCATGACGTCCTTAGGAGGTCAGCATATGCAATGTGTCCTTCAGGTCCAAAGTCCTTGAGTTGTGAAGGAGTTTGTCTTAAGTCCAAACCTCCATTGGCACAATGGCTTCTTTGGTTCCAACGGAAGGCAGCAGATTTTCTTCGGATAAGAAATAAAAGGGGAACTGTACCAAGAACCCACGGATCTTTCTCAGTTCTTCCTCAGCTCGGACAGGATCGTCTTTTGCTAAGATGGGCTTGTTTATAAAGTCTCTCAACTGAATTAAATTGTGCACTTCATCATTGGGAAGGCACCGGAACACCTGTTTAAATAATACAAAGTGGAAACTGATGATTTGTTCAAAAGCAAGCACATGTTCTTTATGGAAGCTGTTCGTTCCAACAGGCAAAAGCTTTGCTTTTATGAAACACATTAATTTTATGCCAAAGCACAGACCTAAGGATTGCTGTTTACAGTTGGGTGTAGTGACACAGTCCTGTAATCCTGGCACGCAGGAGCTGAGGTGAGAAAATCATAAGTTTTAGATCAGCCTGAGCTATGCAGTAAGTCCTGATTTCAAACAAGCAACCAATCCAAACAACCCTAGTTGCTGTTTTCATTCGCTAAAAACCTGTTCTATCTGTTTCCATTTTAAAAGGCCACACCTACATTCTTATTCTACTGCTCATCATCCACAGGACAAAGCCAAGCCAGCAGTAAGGAGCACTAGCTTGGAAGGAAAATTTAACTCAATAGCCCTACCTGAATTTCACAGAGTATTCTTGTCTAAGGGGAAAATTACAAGTTCTCTTTTCTCTAAGTTTTCATTTTGAAAGACATACACGTCAAGAAGTTTGCTGTTAACAGTTGTGTTTTATATGTCTAAGACTTTGCTAAATGAAATACAGTGCTTTACCCTTGCAAATTTCAGTAGGTGCGGCATAAAAAAAAAAAAAAAAAAGAACAGGTATCTACAGAATCAACATCATTCCTGCACCTAACAGGCATAATTCCACAGTGTCAAGTGAAGATTTATTTCACTAAAACCAAAATATTTTCTCTCCCCCCAGCCCAATGCTGCGGGTGGAACAGGCTATATGAGGAGGATGTAACGTGCTCTTGTACATAGCCTGCTTGACCATAACCTGGAGTCCTCAGTATGAAATAAGGCAATGTGGATAACTGTTTTCTTTCACCAAGAACTCTGTGGAGAAAGGGGTTTCTGGGAGACCCGAGGGAGGGCACATTCTTATCCAACTTCTTACAAATCTGGTTTTTTCCTATGGTCACCTATTCCACCATCAATCAACACTTAACTCTTTAATAACCATGGGAGGAAAGGAAGGCCTAGAAAGCCAAGCCACCACATACAGGTGTACCACTTAGTACCACTCATCAGCAGCTGAGATAGGTTGAGTAAGGTGTACTCATCTTTGGATCCTACCTGTCTACCTTGTGTTTGTCATTAAACACCCTCAAGGGCTGTTTGGTCATTACCCGTGATGCTTTTGATGAGAGCCCTGATTCCTATGGAAGACATGGTGCCACTATGGCCTCTTCTCAATGATAATTCATATAAACCTTTTGATTTTTTGTTTTGTTTTGTTTTTCAGTGCTAGAGATTGAACCCAGGGCCTTGTGGATGCGAGGCAGGTGCCTGGCCACTAAGCTACATTCTTTGCCTGTTGCTCTTTGTTTTTCAATGTCTACAAAGACATAGTTTTACAGCACAAAGCTATATTGATTCTCTTATACTAATAATACTCTATCTGTATCAATAAACTGGTGATGAGACTGAATGAAAATGGCAGAAGGAGGGATAAGTAAACCTCACCTTATCATAAATGGTAGCATTTCGGGCTGCTGTTGAAACCCAGATCTCCTTGAAGAATTTGTCACTCACAGGATCCTGAATGTCCTCACTTGGGTCAGAAAGATAGCCAAGGACAAGCCTGAAACACAAAAGCCTTCAGTTTGAGTGACTGAGTTAGAAGTTTCCATTGGTAACAGAAGGCAGTTCAATGGCAAGGACAGAGATCTTTTGCAAGGGAAGAGAAAGAAGCCATTAAACCGATTAGAACTTCATTTTTGTTCTAAAAGAATCCTTGTAATGTGGCCCAAGATGGCTAGATGCAAACATTGGCCAGAAGAATTATCTTGCCAAATGCACAGAACTCTGTGACAAGGCAACTGTAATTGTGCCCATTTTACAGATGAGGAAGCTAAAGCAGGAGAGATTATAAACACCCGTTCCAGTCCACACAGCTGATGAGAGCAACGCTGGGACTCCATCGAGGACCCAGGACTCCATGTGAGCCAACCTTCCATTTCACTCTCTGCTTATTCTTTACTCCCTCCCTCCCTTCAGTCCTCCTCTACCCATCCTTTTAGTGTCCTTCCCATCCTTTGGGTCAAGCACTGTGCTCAACTCTTGCATATAGAAATGAGTAAGAAAGACACGGCATCTCTTTACGTAGTTACATTTGGTGAGTAAGACTGAAAATGAAGAACTAATTAGCCCCAGCAAATAAAACTAATTACAGCTGTCACAATAGGATTATGTGTTGACAGGGAGAGGTGGGTGTGGCCAGGGAGGTTTTCTCTTCTCCCACTTGGTTACCAACTCCAGATGTGATAGTTTTTTTTTAATTATTATTTTTCCTTTTATTAAAAATAGGTTGTTTTCTCATATAATATGGGCTGATTACAGTTTCCCTTCCTCTACTCTTCCAAGTCCCTCCTGACCTCCCCTCATCTCTGAATCCACTCCTTTTCTGTCTCCCATTAGAAAAAACAACAACAAAACAAAACAAAAAACAGGCTTCTAAGTGATAACAACCAAACATGACAAAATAAAATGAGAGAAAGCAAACACATGAAACCTGGATGAGGCAGCTGTGATGTTTTAAGATTCAGAACAAGATCAGCTCTGTCAGGCTTTTCGTAGCCCTCTCCTCTGATGCTGCAGGCGAAGCTGGGGAGCCTAGGATGCTCCCACTGGCTTCCTGACTTCTATATTTTTTTGTGTTTATTAGAGCAGCTACAGTATCTTAGGTCATTTTTAAAATTTTCGACAGATCCATTTGTCACTAATAGCACTACGAGAAGGTAGATTATTTGAGAGACCACGTCTTAGCTAGTCTCATATCTAGGTGAGTGTCGGACATAAGAAGTCACAAACTATCATCTGAATTGATAATATAGAATCAAGACACTAGAAACAGCAAGAAATCACCTAGCAAAAATAAGATAGGTTTTAGAAGCCATATTGAAAAAGTATAAAGTCTGGAGAAACACTAGTAATTGAACTAAAATGCAAAATGAGTCCAAAGATGCAGGGATTTGTGGCATTAGCCTGATCTAGCTGCCTTGAGAGGTGTGTGTCAAGGCGCTGTTAAGGCTTGAGCCTGTGGCTCCTAGGGCACTGTGTGCCTTTCGGTTCCTGAGAATCCAAGGCAGTCTCTCAGGCAATGAAGCGCACAGGCCACCTGTGTGTCTCTCAGTGTTCCTTAGAGGTCAGTGAAGCACACAGAACTTGGCTAAACAGTTACTGTTAGATATTAATTTTGCATACCCTGTCTACCTTGCAATGCCATTGTATAATGGCATCCAGCACTGTACTTTGTTTTGATAAGTGTGTACGAAGTCTGATCGCTTGAGATAAACTTGTCTCAGCCTCAGACTTGCTGAGATCTCTGCAATCCGACGGAAAGCCTTCCCATTGACTACATCAGGAGTCCCTCATTCTGTAAGCACGTGGTGGTGCTTACACACAGCTTTTTCCATACGCCTTGTGCATTCAGCGTGCACCAGAACGGCCCACGCTAACCACAGAACGACTGGAACATACAGCAAATAAAGACTGCTTTGGATGTTAAATGAATGAGAGGACAACTCACTGAAGACATCAGACAGAGGGGTGATATGATCCAGCGTATACAGTAAAATACAACCTCTAAAATACAACCATGAATTCCAGACCAGCACCAGCCAGGACTACAGAATGAAAGAGACTATCTAGATAAACAAACAAACAAATGATAAAATAACTGGACAAGGAGACCCATTTTATCCTCATTTTATGTATCACACGCATGCACAGACACATATATACACACACAGTTAAAAACAGACTGTATGGGCAAGGGTTGAAACAGAAACCAATCAGGAGCCCTGGCAGCAACATAGCTAAGATGAGACATTGGCTGTGGTCTGGGAGCTGTGGTTTTACTCATGAGAGTATAGAAGTTGAGAGAAAACTGTTGGTACTGAGGACCACTGACAGATAAGTGTCATTGCCATCTGCCAAGATGGAAAATTCTGTGGGTAAGCTCAGTTAGTGTGCAAAGACTAGGCATTCAGTTGAGCTTGTCAGTCAGTCCCGTCCATCCCTTAAACACACAAGTGGTGTGTTTGGGATGAGAAGTCTTGGCTAGAAATCCAAACCTTCGAACTGCCCTAATTTATGTGCTCATAAGACCGTTTTTGTAAAGAGTTTTCCAGAGGAGGGAGCGTACACAGTGAAGAAGACCCAGTGTGGCCATGGGGAAGCAACACAATCGGCTAGGCTGGAGAAAAGCCAGAGGGCACAGACTCCCATGACCATGTGGGAAAATACGTCAAAGGGAGTTTTGGCAAATTCACATGACTTCTGTGATCTAAATGTGAACTGTCCCCATAGGCTCATATGTACATGATTGCCATGGGTACTTTTGCTTTGGGGACAAAAATTTCCTCTCTCTCTCCCCCACCTGGTGAGGAAAATGATAGAACCAGGCAGCTCATGTGCCTGCTACTTTGCTTTTCTGACCACAATGGACTTGTATCCCTGGAACTAGGGAACTATAAGCTAAAGTAAACCCCCTTCCTTAACCTGCATCTGGTTAGACATTTGTTCAGGAGAATTAGCCAACATGCTTACTGCTGCTTTAACAACATAAACATCATTCAGCTTTTACCCTCTCTGTATTTAAGCAAATGCAGACTGACATCCTTTTTAGTGGCTGCAGACTTTCTGAGAGTGTCCAGTTTATGTAACTAATTATTTTATGATGGGCATTTGTGTAGTTTCAACTTTTTTATTATTATCGCAACGAATGCAGGTTAGACATACTATGTAACATTCGGTGATTTTGTTTCTTATGATCATTAGGAATTCCAGAATGCAAGCTCCTGGGTTAAAGAATATTTGGAATTATTCCAAGAGAGGCTGTGCTGCACCTTCACCCTCCACTTGGAAACATTCAGTCTATTTCACAGGTATTAAAGGCAACTCATTTTCATCTCACTTTGCAACTTTTCTGCTACATAGAATCTCTTTGAAAACAAGCAGAGCTGGCACCAGAGGTACACTAGGATTCTTTAGTTTCATAACCTCAAAAATTCCCTTTCTAATTTAGATAATGTCTTCTTCAGATTACTGGAGAATAACTTTAAAAGAGGACACAAACAAGGATGTTTGCATGCCCCTGGTGGGCTGTTGAGAATTCAACTGCACCAAACCTGAAGGACAGAGGGGCTATGACGATGAATTAATTAGAATAGCACCACTAACTTGGGGCATATATACAGAACGGAAAACTAAGCATAGGTATTCCCATGAGTTTATTCTTGAAAATAAGAGGTGAGATAATGTACCCACCAGTTTATCAGTTAAGGGCTTGTTTGTAGGAAAAAAAAAAAAAACTATTGAATTAAGTTTATATCAGCAATGCTCAGTTCTCCAATATTTCTCCTGTCAGCATTTAACTACCTGAAAATGAAATATGTGAAGAAGTTTGGGTGATCTTTTGAGGATAAGGTTTAAGAGAAAATGACTTCAATTTTATGCCTATGTGTATTTAATATTTAACCACAAAATGTAGGAGGGCCGAAACACTGAAAATAAGTGATATTTCTGTCCATTCTCTTCCACACATCTATCACCTTACATGGTTTTGAGCCTACCTGTGTGGCCAATGGCTTTTGGTGAGTGCTGGCTGTATCCGTAAAGTTGGGATACTTTTCTAGGGCTTACAGGACTGTGGCTCACAGCTGTGGCAGTCACAGCTGGTAGTTGATTCTGGCTCCGTTTAGAATTGATTTCATATTGAAATGTCTCTCAATTTTTTTATTAAAAAATAGCTGAGATGGGGGGAGGAGGGATGGGACTGTAACCAGGATGTAACATGAAGAAAAATAAATAAATAAATGAACAGATAAGTAAATACATGAATGAATGAATTACTAGTCCATATGGAAAATGGCTGTGCTCTCGGCTACAATATTTATCTCTTGAAGCGCTTCTAATAAAGGGATGGAGAACTGACATGTTTTTTTTTTTTTTTTTGTGGTGCTTTTTAATATATTAACTGTATTTGCCATCGGGGTAAAGTTAAAAATCATTGTTTAAAAACAACCGACTTGATCCAAAGATGTCGGATCCCCACGACACAGGCAGCAACAGGACATTTGAGAGGAGTCCCTGTGAGAAGCCAGTATTGACACTGTAGCAGAAGCCAGAGGCCTGGAACCACACCAATGACTCACTTCAATGAACATTTCCAAGGAAGGTGAGTGGACAAGAGGATATATTGTGTGACACACTGCAGCTTCCACTGTGAGATAATTTGTTTCTTTGTGATTGTTTTTGTTGTACTTTTATTTTCTGTTGGGGGGAGAGGTTGCAAGGGTTGAGGGTGAGTATGAAGGGACAGGGAGATCAGCGGGATTGGGGTGCATGATGTGAAATTCACAAAGAATCAGTAAAAAGTTAAAAAAAAACAACTGCCTTTGTAACACAGTGTGAAAATAGTCTTCTTCAGTAAGATGACTCAAAATTATGAAGACATCAATTATTTTTATGTTGCTCTATAAATCTGCTATACTGCCGGTTAAAAAGGAAACCAGGGACATAAGAGTATTTGAGTAAATAGTCCTAAAGTTCATGTGGAAGAGTGACTATTTGGGATAGCCAAGTTTGTTCTAAAAAAAAAAAAAAAAAAAAAAAAAAAAAAAAAAAAAAAAAAAAAAAATAATAATAATAATAATAATAAACTACACTGATGAAGCAGTATGACAAAAAGCAATATTAAAATTTGCACCTGAAAGATTGGAACTGATGTCACACTGGCCTATAAGAAAACAGACTTTCAATATGATGTGATAGAGATGGGAGGAAAGTTAAAATATATGTCAATTGTCAGTGTCATAAAGAGGCTTTCAACATCAGACAAACTTCTGAACGTGGTGGTGCATACTTCTCTTATAAGTGATTGGTACGTGGAAACAGGAGGATCAGAGTTCAAGGTCATCCTCAACTACAAAGTGAGTTCAGGCCAGCCTGGACTACATCCTATCTCAAAAAAAAAAAAAAAAAGGAAAGTATGGTGGCACAGGTCTTTACATATTTCTGTGGGTTCCAGGCTAGCCAAGGCTACACATAGAGAACTTGTCTCAAAAACAAACAAAAGAACAAAAAAATGTTTAAAAACAACCAGGCTGGGTTTGGAGAGATGGCTCAGCAGTTAAGAGCACTGTCTGCTATTCCAAAGGACCAGGGTTCAATTCCCAGCACCCACATGGCAGTTCACAACTGTCTGTAATGCCCATTCCAAGAGATCTGACACCTTCACACTAATGCACATAAAATAAAGATAAATAAATAAATATTTAAAAAACAAACAAACAAAAATCAACCAGGTCAATAGTACTACCTTGACCAATTGAGGAGGAAAAAAAATCAAGAGTTCTTATACCATTTCCTGTATTTAAACATGCTACTCTGTGAGACATGGAGGTGCACACTTCACATCTGACCACCAAAAAGGCCTCTCAGCAAATAGGTAAATGAGAAAAATTAATAAATTTGCTTAATAATACCTGAATAATTTCCCCTAAATACTAATTTTCTCCTAAATAGGAGTAAGATGAAATTGCTCAAACATATTCAACAAAATAAGTAATAATTATAGGTCATCAAGAGAAGGTTAAACATCCCAGAAAAATAGGCAAAGGGAATGAAAAGGCCAGGCAAACTCACAAAAGAACAAACACTCTTGACTAATAACACATTTTTAAAACCTTAAAAAAAAATCACAAAATAATAAAAAAAAATTAGCAAAAAGTTATGTCAAATATGGAGGTCTGTTTTTAAGGAATTATGGCAAACATATATGATGAAGTATGATGCAATCATGAAAATGTTACAGAATAATCGTTACTGACATGAAAAAGCAGGTGTAACATCTAAATAATAAAGACCATTCAGCGGCTCACAGAGTGAAATATTTCCTTGTATATGTTCGAATAGGCAGCCAATGGTTTGATTAGCAGGATACTAATTTAAAATTCTCCCCTGCTAAACAAAACAAATTAACACCACTTTTCTGAAATATCAGTGATTTGAAAGAATTCTCACTGCGCCAAACCATTAGTAATAAAGGCGACAAATATAGCAATAAAAGCTGTTGAAAGGTATTAATATATTTTGAGGCATGGCTCTACTGAGTTCTTTGAGCTGAAAGCAGAGAATGAATGTGTCTGGAATGAAGCTAGGTCTGGCGAGCTGAGTCTGTCAGAATGGAAGGAAGAAGGAAGGCGGTCATCATTTGGCAAAGAGCGCAGTGCCTCGTCCTTGTCCTCTCTGAGCCAGTCTGCAGATGGAGGATCGAAACAACGGTGCCGCGCTCCCACAGGCAGTAGAAAGCGCTCAGTATGTCTCACCATAGAGGCCACGGTTGGGGAACACAGGTCCTTGTGGACAGATCCACACTAAACAAACCTGGAATGTTAGGCAGGCAGGATTGTCTTTTCAACAGGAGAGGTTCAGAGCCACTTTTACTACCCAGCAGGCTGGGACTGGAGGTGGTTAATAACCTGGTGATTTACTCTATCTGTAGGCCCAGGCCACACCAAGTCCCCAGAGGCAGGACCAGAAGCAGCTAATAGTCTAGGTGACCTTTGCGTTATCTGTAGGCTCAGGGACTCCCCTGAGCTCCCACAACCAGAGCTAGTAGAGCTAATGATTGCTATGCCATCCATACAACCAAGACTGCACCAGATTCTCCCATAGGCTCTTCAGAGAGATAATACACATAGCCTATCTCTAGAACCCATCTTCGTGAATGAGGTGTCATGTTCTTTGAGAAAAGTTTGGATGTAATTATACCTCTTGTACACAGGGGATTGTGTTATACCAAGGAACTTTTTTTTGCAAATGCACTGTACTGAAATACACTAACAGTAAACTACTTGGGGATCACACTCTAGAAGTTTCAGAGAACACCGACTAACTAAATCATGTTGAACCAGATTTGCTTCTAGCCTCACTTGGACTGACACACTCCTGACCCTGGAGATCACACAGACCCTAACGGGTCACAAACAAAATGACATCACAGCAAGGACAATTCTAGAATCCTCAACTATGGACCTACTGATAAGGTCTAAAGCTGGAAGGAAGGTCGAGGTGTTGGCAGACCATGCGGGATTAATATATCTGGAAGGGTTTTACCTGTTCCTTCTTTAGTTCTGAGGTAAGGAGCTGGACGGTAGCGAGCAAGGAGCGATCCAATCCAGAAGGATTAGGAAGGATCACTGTTGATGCTAGACTAAAGGAGTTGGGGCCAGTTCAAACCTAGCCAGGGCCAACATCATCATTTAATCCCTTTGGGTCACTCAGTCTTTGCTTCATAGCACTAAATATTCTGTCTGCTTATCTCATGGAAGACCAGGATCTCTCATGTCTGAAGTCCCTTTAAACCCGGGAAATGTAGCATTCACTAAATCCTGAGCGCAGCAAGAACTAGAATACTTTTAGTAATCCTTATTATATCCTTCTAATTTACTTTGCGTGTCTGCACAAGTTCGTGTCATAGTGTATGTGGAGGTCAGAGGACAGCTTGTGGGTCTCTCCTTCCATCATGTGGTCCATATGTCTGAATGACAACTTAAAGACTCTTTCCTTCTGCCTTGTGAGCTGAGGGGATTGAACTCGGGTTATCGTGCTTTCTGGGGAGAGGGCCTTCACATGCTGGCACACCTTGTCTATTCTGATTTTTTAAAGGGAAGTGACTTTTTACAACTTAAGCCAACCATACCTGGATGGTTTGACCTGGCCTGACCTTAACCCAACTACATTTCAAATGGTAGTTTTTGCTATTATACATAAAGATGACAGACATGTGTGTACATTAAAAGTAGCTTTTTCTACTAGCGTATATATCCTCCACTCTGAGAGACACTGTTCCAGATAAGAAGAACCTAGCATGGCACGAGTGAACTAGCATGGCCAAGGGTAAAGGTCACCCTGAGCCCTAGCACCTAATGGGGAACTAATAATAAAATCGTGGCTCTACAGCGCTGACCTGAAGCACTGTAGCCGAAGGCCTTGGGCAAAGCGGCCAGCTTGATATTCTTTTCCATCCATTATTGATGGGACCGTCTCTGTGTCCTGCACTATGACAGCCATTTCACTGTCTCGCTTCCCCAGCAGGCTCCGGTCATTGATGTTGGCAGAACCTAAAAGGAGAAACAGCAGAAATGAACAATCTTCTCCTGACAGCAACTGCTAATGGCAACCTCACTCCAAGCTTCCTAGTTTAGGGGAGGTAGGGTCCTCCTTAGGATTAGCCTGTTGCAACCCGCTTAAACTCTCTAGCCCTTCTATTGAGACCTACTTTAGTTCTTAGCATAACTGGAGCTCCTCTGTTAACACCTGCTGTCACCTTTAGCATATCAGAAGCCATTTTGCCTCCAAGTCTCCATTTTGATTATAAGGCGAAATTTAAGTTCAAGTTCTCAGGCTCCTAGGTGTCTGAGACCAGGATCCAATTCAATAGTTCAATACTTGCTGCTGAGAGTAAAACAATAGATGATAGATGCATGTGCTGTGGCGGGCTGGTGTGAATCTCTGTGGTGGCGGCAGCAGGAGCTTAAAGAACTACCTTCCACAAGACCTGTAGACTGTTGTGGGATCCTGCTCTGCTCTGAGATGGTCCTGTTGATATTCCACCTGACGACTGTTACATCTGTTCTGATCCGTCTTCCAGCTCCCTCTGTTTTAGAGAAATGCCTGAGTGGTGGACAGCAGCGGCACAGTGTGCCGCAGCAGGACTCGTGAATGGCAGGTCTGTTGTAGCCAGAAAGACCTTAGCTTCATCAACTGCATACAGGAGATTAGACACCCAGAAGCTGAGGCCAGTGGGGTTTGGTATTAGAGATGCTTTCTCATCTTGAGCTTATACAGTAAGGAATGTTCAATGCCATGGGTGCTTTCACAGTCATCCGTTAATCTGTAAACTGTGTTCCATCCGTGGCGACAACTCTCCACCTCCCCTGGCAGGGCAGAAGCTTTGATGCCCACTTCCCTCTATTTTGAAATCTCAATTCACCAAGGATGTGACTTGAGAAGAACTAATCTTTTTTATTTTATTTTATTTTTTTTAAAATTTTTTATTACTTACACTTTATTCATTTTGTATCCCCCCATAAGCCCCTCCCTCCTCCCCTGCTGATCCCACCCTCCCTCCCCTTTCTGCATGCATGCCCCTCCCCAAGTCCACTGATAGGGGAGGTTCTTCAGATATGTACTTTGCACTTTTTATTACCTGATTTCTCACAATAGAAAAACAAATACTGTGGTTGATCACAGTAAGGCACACATGCGCACTAATTAGCCATAAGGTTCGGCAGCATTTTCGTCAATGAAAGTATAATTACATGATTCCCCTCTTTCCTTTTCTCTCTCCAACCCTTCCAGTGCACCCTCCCATTGCCCTTTCTCATTTGTATCTGAGCCCCTTCTCTAACCTAAGCCTGCTTTCCTAAGTGTGTGAAAGGAGCTCCTGGTAAGCTCTGGAACTTCACTCCCCTCCTGCTCTGAGGAGGCTGCTCAAGGTCTGGGACCAAGATCACTGTGGCCTGGGAACCAGCCTGGAAACCTCCATGTTGCAGGATATTTGAGCCTATTGTGAACCCCAAAATTGTGAACTGTAAAACCCTGTTTCTCGGGTGTGGGTGAACCCTATCACACACTTTTAATCCAAGAACTTTCTGTTTATTGCAAACTGGTGATTATGCTGTGGTTCACCCAGCCCTACCTAGCACACACCGTTAATCCAGAGCTTTCTGTACACAGGATTTAATAAGGTTAACTCTAGGTGAAGAGGCAGAGTAGGAAACCCACTGGCAAGGGAATAAAGAGTAGGAAGGACTTTGAGTTGAGGGGTATTTAAGAAGGTGTGCAGAAGAAGAAAGGGCTATTAGCTCAAGCTCTGGCTTTAGCTTAGGCTTCAGCTCCTCAGCTCCCCGGCTTTTTGGGCCTTGAGCTAGCAAGCCTTTGGCCTTGGGTTCTTTTGGCCTTTTGTTCCTGGGCTGTCAGCTAAGCTAGTGAGCCTTTTGGGTTTTTTCCATCCTGATCTGAGCTGAGAAGGAAGGTCAGCTGAGTGCTTTCTCTGCCTCTCTGAACTAGCAGGATTTCACCCCAGATCTGGTTCTTGAGTCTTTACTGGTAAAGCAGAACAGTTGGGATTTTTCTTCTTTTAAACAATACCCCCACATATATAACCACTAGGGTCAGACCCTCGCCCATGGCTCCTGACTCCTGAGGGTAGAAGTACACTCCTGGCATTGTGTGCTGAAATCTTAGAGACAGCAGCAAAGTACAGTCTTGCAGGAGCCAATGAAAAAGGCCTATGGAGAATGGAAGATCTCCCAAAAAGATCTCCACCTGATTTCAACCAGACTGTTGAAACAATGGGCCCCAAAGAAATGGGAATTCCCCCCAGAAATCCCATGCTGGAAGAAAGAAAAGACTGCAACCAGACAGGAAGTTGTCTCCTGGAAGGAAATTTCACAAGCTCTAACAACTTGTCAGACCACCTTACAGCATAAGACTGAAGCCAACAATGAGGGGTCAGTGGTGGGCGGGCCCACACCTTGGAGGGCACTGCTTAGATGTTGATAACCTTGGCTTTCTAAACCTCACAGTTTTACTGCAGGATCCTGAAGATGAACATGGGTGGCTTCACCGGGTCTCTCTTGCTTCTTTTCCCAAGATGAGCACATTGAATAAATCTTGGTTGTTTTGGGGTTTTGTTTTTTTTTTTTTTTTTTTTGGTTTGGTTTGGTTTGGTTTGGTTTGATTTGGTTTGGTTTTGCTTTCCACTGTTAAGCTAGCCTTGTTGAGGATGGGTCACTTGAGGCTGTGACCCACACAGTTGATAACATGAAAATCAGAGTTCAGGTCCCTAGAACTCATGTAAATCCTGGGCAGGCATGGAGTTACACCTATAGTCCCGGGCATGGAGTTACACCTAAAGTACACCTATAGTACAAAATAGGCAGAGACAGGATTCCTGAAGCAGGCTGGTTAATTGGGCTCTAGAAAAGCAAAAGACCTTGAAGATATAAGGTGGAAAGTGACAATGGAAGAAAGCCAATCAAGACACCATGTCAGCCTCTGGCTCTCAAGCATGTATATATACATATGCGATCATGAATTCATGCATGTCACACACATGAACTTATTAAATTTAATACTGACAGGGAAATGCTGACAAGTGTAAATGTTACCTCTAGTCTTGCAGTTAAACATTGCTTTGTTCTGAAAATCAAACTCAGAAAAGGAGTTTTGTACCTTAAAAGAAATGAGGAAGGGAAGGAAGGAGGAAGCTGGGGAACACGGAATGTTTACAGGTTCTGGGTGCCTTTTGCAGAACACAGAGCACGGTGAGGAACTTCTGACCTTGCTCAGCATGTGCCCTCAAGAGTTTGCACTGTTGACAGCAAATGTGCGCAGTGATCATGTACTAACTTTCATGGAACTGGGTTCCTTGTTTTTATTAAGTCAGTGCCTTGATCATTTAAAACCCATTTCTGCAGCTGCTATATTTTAAAAACTCATTTTTAAAATATAACACAATACAAAAACATAATAAAAATAATAAAAAATAATAAAATCACCACCGAATAAACTGAATCCATCACCCAGGCTGGGAAGGATACCTCTCCCCCACAGGAGCGCCTTCTCTCACGAGCCCTTCCCTCCCTCACCGGGAGATTAGCTAGCTTGATGTTAATCTTCATGTTTATCATGTGTCTTCCTAAACAAAACCACTTTACCTCTGCCTTGTTACTTGATGTCTGTTGCACTCGGTTTTTTTGTTTGTTTGTTTGTTTTGTTTTGTTTTTTAAACTAAGCCCAAACTAAAATCCCACACATGGGATTAAAACAAAAATGTATGTATGTAACATAACTGAGCTTTTAAAGAAACCAAAACTTTCATTACAGATATCAATGGGCTCATTCAGTAGGTAATCATGAAACCTGCTTCCTTCAGTCCACGTTGTGTTTTTGAGATTTATCTGTGTAAACTAATGTATTTGTTTGACTTCCATAACCATTTCATAACTTAACGTTTCATTTGACCCTAGACGGGGGTTACTTGCAGAGTTTTGCTGTGCAGTACCTTTCCGTGTTCTCTGTGCTGCTGTGGTACTTGTGTGTGAGCATATATGTAGGCTTTATGTAGCAGGACTGGAATTCTGAGTGCGGAGCGTGACAACAGAGTATTTTCCCAAACAGCTGCTAGTCTGAGCTCCCTCCAGGGGCTGAAGGCACTTCTGTGGCCTGGCTAAAGTTTAGCTTGCCTCATGTTTTGATTTTTGCCAATCTAAGAATTTTAAAAAGCTGTTACCGGTGCCATTTCTATATTAAAAAGCATGAGTATCTTTTCTTCTGTTTATGGATCATGGGTGTGTTCTTTGGACTTCTCCTATCAGTAGATTTGGGGAGGGGCATGAGTGAAGAACAGGGAGGGAAGGTGTGATTAGGAGGGGAGGAGGGAGGGATTTATGGGGGGATACAAAGTGAATAAAGCGTAATTAATAAAAGTTAAAAAAAATTCCCTTGGCATTCTAATTGCATATTTGTCAGTTTGAATTTGAAGGCATTCCTTGCGTGTTCTAACATTTTTTATATGTTTTGGGATGTGGGGGGGGGGGGTGGCAGGGTGTTTACTGAGGCCAGAAGCATCAGATCCTCTGGTGGTGGGGTGACAAGCCGCTGAGAGCCATTCCACATGGGTGCTGAAAACAGAACCCAGGTCCTGTGCAAGAGCATCATTCGCTGTTACCCACAGAGCCATTTCTCTAGCCTCTCCTACGTGTTTTGAATATTCTGTTTTGCAAATATCTTCTTTAAGTTTGTGACTTATCTTTTTATTCCCTTTGCATTATTATTATTTCCAAACAAATTAATTTCCATTTTTCTCACTAGCAGAAAATGTCCCAAGGACCAAAAAGGAAGAGGAGGAGTAAAAGCAATGGGATAAAAAAGATCCTCGGGTGAAGAGGAAGGAAGGAGGATCTGAGGAGCAAGCTACCCAGCATCACACGCCACTGAGAAAAGTCCTCAGAAATGATGTCAAGGAAATACTGATGGAGCAAATGGCTGCGCAGCACGCACAGCTGAGGGAACTCCTGGGAACCAGCTTACTGATGGTGAAATACTGATGGGG